TGAACAATAACCCGCTAGTAGCCAGGGGCGCGATCAAAGCCCTGATGGGCATACCTTAGCGGCCAGTCCCCGAGGGGCCACTCTCAGACTGCTTAAGATGGTTCCTGGAAAGAGCTTCTGAAAACCCCCGAATGTGAGAACGGCAGCCCTTTTGGGTCCCCTCCCTCTCCGGGAGCTTTCAGCGCTCAATAAACCTCGCCCTGCTGCCCGCCACCCTTCGTCCGGTCTACCTCTTCCTGCCTCGGAGCGGCGCGACCCAGAACTGCGGGCGCTAACGGAACAAGATCCTGAAACAGTGGCAGAGATTTGAGCATGGGTGACTTTGGGAATGGTAGGGCTCCTACCCTGGACCCTCCCAGGCCACTCTCTGTAGACGGGGGACCCCCACAACCCCTGTGAGCCCCAATGTCCTGGGCGAGGTGGCAGAGACCTCTCCCAAGGAATGAGTGAGAGGGAGGGCGAGGCAGCGGGCCGGGTGCGTGCTATCCTAGCCCAGGTCCCCACGGCCCAGCGTTTGCTCCAGCATCCGTTCCTGTCCCTGCCCGCCATGCTCAGCCGTGCCCCGTTCTTTCCGGATTGCCAAGCATCGTGCCCATAGCTCGCTGGTGGAGGATGTGATTCCAGGCTCACTTCTTGGGGATAATTGAAAAATTCCAGGTTCCGGAGGGCTTTACAAAGCACACGAGGCAGGCACAGGGCAGATGAGTGCGCACAAGGCGAAGGTCGCAGACTGGTGTTCTCGCTGCGGCGGCGGCTTGGGGAGGCCTGGCCTGAGCTGCAGGTCCCCACAGGGTCTGGACATGCACTCGAACCATCCTGGCCCTACAGGCAGGGGAGGGTCTGCTTGCACGGTGCAGGGATGGTGGCAGGCCTGGGGTGACCCTGGTTGATGCAGGATGGGGACCTTTGGGTGAGCTGTCCCTGCCCAGCCCTCCCCCGTCCCCCAGATGGGCACCCAGTGCCACCTGCCTGATTCAGTTAACAGAACTGGCTGCTTCTTTGCCCAGCACGTGGGGTTAGGGACCTTGCCCACCTCTTGCCTTGGTGTCACTTTTTCCGAAACCTACTTTTTCCCTGACATACGTGTCTTGACCTGTGAAGTCTGAGGCCAGGCCCTTCCTCCTTGGCCCTCTTCCTCGCAGCCAGCACCTGCTGGAGAGTGTCCCACATTCAGATATAGCAGCGGTGGGGGGAGTCAACGGCAGACATTGGTGTGCTGGCCTCCGTTTCCAGGTTCCTGCTTCGGGGCACCATGGAGTCCCCCCTCAAGGGGCTTGGTGTCTGGGAAGGCAAGGACTGAGTGTTGGGTGGGCAGCCGGCCTGGCTTGGCGTCTCCTCTGCGCTCAGACTCACCCAAGCAGGGAGCGGGTCCCTCTTCCCGGCCTCTGGGGAAGTAGGAACTGAAGCAGCGGGTCCTCATTATGCATGTCAGTGATCTGGATAAAACCCACACGGGGACCGTCTTCTTGCTTCTCTCATCTAAGGCCAAGAGAGAGGGACACGGTCTTCCGGAAAGCCAGTGAAGGGTGGGGGGCAATGAGAGATGAAAGAAGACAGCTACGTGCCTGGGAGCCTCTGTCCACCCTGTGCCCCTGAGGGAGGAGAGGGGGCAGCAGCCCTTCCTGTCCCCCCCGCCGCCAGGGCCATGCAGGAGGATCCCTCTGTTCTTAGAGAGCAGGACTCCAGAGCTGGGCCTGACCTGGGGCTTCCCACGCTCACACTGGGCCACGGTCGGGTCCAGCGGGGATTCATGCCGCTGTGGGCCGGGGGGCGGGGGGCATGTCCTGGGGCATTGGCGCCCCGCCCCGGCTCCCTGGCCTCTCTCCCCCGGGGCCGAGGGCACGGCACCCGGTCCCCTAGAGATGTGACGGGGCCCCGTGGGGTGGGGGGCAGGGCTTGTCAGGGGTTAACCGATGCCCCTTCTGCTGGAAATAAGAGCATTTCAGACCACAGCCAAACATTGAGAAGTACTTTCCCACTGGGATCACACTGGTGTTTGAGGGGCGACCGGGTGACTTTTCTGTTTACTCTCCTGCAACAAGCTTGCTTAATTTTGATCAGGCCAGACTCACCGCTTACGTTCTAATCACTCACCCTCGCGAGGGTGGACCTCGGCTGCCCCAACACCAGCAGTGATGATGGTCTCTTGGCAGTTCCCTGGCGCCCCACCAAGCCCTGCCCCCTGCCCTGACCCCGAGTCCTGCCCCCTGCTTCCCTGACTTTGCTTCTGCCGCCTCGTCCACCTGGGGGTCTCTGCGGTTGGGTGGGCTGCAGGAGCATGCTGAGGACCAGAGCCCGGCTCAGACGGCGGGGGGCCTGGGGTCTCTGCTGTCTGCCACATCCTGACCATCCCTCCTGGGAAGCCCCCGTTCTGATCCCCAAACGCCGACCTGCTGTACCCGTGGGCCCCGCTGAGGGGGCAGCTTCCCACATGTCCCTTGCCACGGCCCAGCAGGCTGCACTGAGGTTCCGGACCAGGAGCTGGAGGCCGGGTGGGCCGTGGGGGTGCGGGGTGCGGCCCAGCTCCCTGCCCATCCTGACATGCTCTGTCCAGCGTCTGGCGCCTTTGGAAGGGGCATGAAGCTCTCCTTCTCCGGCCCGGAGCACCTTGAGCCCTGGTCCTACAGCAGCCTGACTCAGCTGTTACCAGCAGACACTGTTCCCCACAGCACCCTGGGAGTAGGGGCTGTGGGGTGGACCCCTTGAGATCTGCGGCTGGCTTTCAGTCCTGTGCTGCTGACCCCAGCCAGGGCCGTCCAGCCCATATGTCCGTCCTGGAGATTTCTGGGACGGGAGGGGTGCGCTCTGGGGAGATCTCTGGTCGTGCTCCCCTGTGGAGGGAGGGCAGGGTCAGCTGCTCCTCAGACTGGGGGTGCCGAGGGGCCCAGGAGAGCCCCCTCCTCGCCCTGCCCGGCTGCCCACCCCGGAGCTGCCCAGCAGCCGGCGAAGCGTTTACCGAGCACGCCTGGGGGGCTTGGTCCCTGTTCTCGGGGGCCGTGGGGGAGGCGGAGGCAAGCCCAGGCGGGAAGCGAGGGGGCAGCGATGGTGGCGGGGCCTGGGGCTGAGCCTGGGGAGGGGGAGACGGTGGGGGGTGCTTCTAGCATTTTCTGGGCTGACTTGGAAAGAAGGACACACACTCTCTTTTTAACTTTTTATTTTGAGGTAACTGTAGACTCACACGCAGCTGTGAGAACGAGTCAAGAGACCCCTGGTGCCCCTCACCTGTCCTCCTGATGCCACTGTCCTGCCCGCCGTCCCCCCGACGCGGGCCCTGGCGCCACCCCCACCCCCTGCCGCCTAGCTCGCCTGCACTGTGGGGTGTGTGTGAGTGTGTGTCTACAGGTGTGCGCTTTTCCTGGTGTGCGCAGGCTCCCACACCCTCCACCATAGTCCAGATTCGTGGGGACCCCCCTTCAGGCCGCACCCCCTCCCCACCCCTAAGCCCTGGAAGTCACAGAGTGGTTCTCTGTTTCTGTGGTTTTCGAGACCATTGGGCCAAGGCAATCCTAAAGTGTCGCCTTCTGGGGTTGGCAGCTATCACTCGGCCCCGCCGCCTTGAGACCATCAGGCTCCTTCCTGTCCACGCCGAGCCGCGTCCTGAGGCGCGGGGACCGCTGTGTTCAGCCATTCCTCCGCGGGGCGCGTGGGGCCGTTTCCGGGCCGGAGACCGTGAGCACGGCTGCTGTGGGCATTTGCCTATAGGTGTTCGTGGGCTCGTTTCCATATTTCCGGGATGAATATCCAAGGGGCAAGCACTTCTCACCCACGAATGGATGAACCGTGGACTAGTGGGAACTCTCCATGTACCCGCAAACATGGGGCGTGGCGGGGGTCCCATGTCCCAGCTGCTGAGGGGGATGGCGGTCACCGCCTTCCACCTCGCGCCCCTCCCGGAGGTGCCGTGGGGTCCTCGCCTCTCAGAGGAGGCCACTGTGGAGGGCCGGTCCCCGGGAAGCGTGGGTGGGGGGTGAGCGTCACTGGGACATGGCTGGCCCCTGAGGAAGGAGGACAGCTCAGAGAAGGAAACTAGGGGCCGAGTGGGGCCCCCCAAATATGTGCATATTCCAATCCCGGCCTCCAGAACCTGTGGGTGTGATCTTATTTGGAAAAAGGGTCTTTGCAGATGTGATGAATGTGAGAATCTTGAGGGGCGCCGGGGTGGCTCAGTTGGTGAAGCGTCTGCCTTCAGCTCAGGTCATGATCCCAGGGTCCTGGGATCGAACCCCGTGTCAGGCTCCCTGCTCAGTGGGGAGCCTGCTTCTCCCTCTCCCTCTGCCTGATGCTCCCCCTGCTTACCCTCTCTCTCTCTCTCAAATAAATCAATAAAATCTTAAAAAAAAAAAAAGGTGAGAACCTTCAAATGAGATCATATTGGATTATCCAGTGGCCCGAAATACAGTGACAAATGTCTTTATAAGAGGAGGCAGAGGAGAGACCCAGACAGAGCAGAAGCCGTGTGAACACAGGGGCAGAGACTGGAGGTGCACGGCCTCAGGCCCAGGGGTGTGTGGAGCCTGCAGACGCTGGGAGAGTCTCTGGCAGGAGTGTGGCCCCACCACCTTGACCTCGGACTCTGGGCTCCAGAGCTGGGAGGAGTGAATTCTGTGGTGATAAAGCCCCCAGTCTGTGGCCAGTAGTTATGGTGGCCCCAGGACATTGACACGTGTGCTCGGATGCTACCACCCCAGAAGGCGGGGGGGGATGGGCTTGCAGAAGCGGCCCCACGCCTGCACCCAGCTTCCTCCCACAGCACCCCGTGCTGCCCCACTGGCCTCCCCCCCACCCCCACCCCCCCCGAAGCTCACACACCAAAAGGCCTGGGTGGGTTCCTCTACTTCTTGTATTTGAAACAGGTATCTGGGAAGACAGAGCTTGGCTCTCAGATGGAGCCTCACTGGGGTGTCCATCCCCCAGCCCTGAGACCCTGGGGCTCCCCGGAACACCCCTGCCCCAGGCCCTCCCGGCCCAAGGCTGCTGGTGCAGAAGGTGGTGGGGCCTACTTTGGTTGCTCAGGCTGATGATGTTCTGTGGACCCAGTCCGTACTTTCTGCAGACTTTTTCAAATCTGTTCAGGAAGCTGGGACTCAGGCTCGGCACCCGTCCTGAGGACAGAACAGCAGGGGCTGGGGTCCCTCACTGCTTGCTCGGGACGGTGTGCAGAGGAGGTCCCAGGGGGACTTGGGCAGCGCCGAGGCCGAAGGGGGGGTGCCCTGAGCAGAGATGGGGCCGTGCCAGGTGGGGGTCCCCCACACTCCACGACGTGACTTGACCGTGTGTAGACAGGCAGGTGGGAGCCTCGTGTGTGGCCCAGAGGAGGGGGTCCCCGAGGGGCCTGGCCAGTCTCCCCCCCGGCAGATGGGAGGGGTCAGGAGGTGGTACCATAGAGTGCCAGCACGTTGGTGTCTGTCCCGTTCCTGATGTTCCGGAGATGGAAGGTGATGTACAGTTTATAATCGGTCTCCAACAGGAGCACCTTATTGTCGCCCTCATCTGTGTGGAGACTCGGCTCAGAGCGGCCCCCCGGCCCCTGCCGGCCCCCGGCCCCCACGGGTTATGCACTGGCCGTGCTGTGTCCTGGTGGGCTGGTGGCCCCTGGCAGGAGGGGGGTGCCACCGGCAGAGGTCCCTGGGCATTGTTGGTAGAACAATGCATGCTCAGGGGAGGGCGCACCTGCCTCCCTGGGGCCTGGGCCAGGCTGGTCCTCTCACGGCACGGTCAAGCTGTCACAGGGCCCCGTAAGATCCCGTAAGTCAGAGCTCACCAGGAGACGGCCAAGGCCCTGAGGAAGGGGAGCGCGCTGCCGCCAGCCGGGAAGACCCCCATGCACTTACAGTTGACCGTGTACTCGCCGTCCTTCTCTGTCCTCTCGCAGACCATGGCCACCTGCACGCACTCCCCGTGCACCCTGAAACCAGCGGGGGTGATGTCGGGCAGCCGACCCACACCCCGAGCCCGACCCCAGCGTGCAGCCCTGCCCTCCCGCTCTACGGGGTGGGGGCGGGGGGACACCCGTCCTCCCCAGTCCCGGCCGAGATGGGCGGCACGCACATGAACAGGAAATGGAACCTCAGTCCGCCGTCTTTCAAGCTTTCAATATTCCGTATGAAGACCCTCAGGTCCCCATTTTCCTCAATCCGCTTCATGTCATCAGAAGCTATGGACACTGAATACCAGACCCCCGAAACCTGTAGACAAGGCCCCGATGGGCAGGGAGACTGGGTGGCGGCCCTGGGACTTCTTGGTGCCTCCTTCCTGGGGCTGGGCCCCTGGGTGTATGGCTCCCAACCAGGGTCCTCCCCTCCCTGCCCTCCCAGAGATCCCTGTAGCCATCACAGCTGGGGGAGGAGAAGCAAGCCCTTCCAGGAGCCGTGTCCTCCTCCCAGGTCAAAGACTCCAGATGGCAGGAGGACGGGGGCCCTGCAGCCCGGCCCCAGGGGAAGGCCCGGACTCCGGGCCACAGACCCACCCTGGCCATGTCATAGCTCCTCCGCACAATGGCTCGGGGGTTGAGCTCCTGGGCGGAGACCAGGCTCAGCCCCAGGCTCAGCAGGAGTAGTGCCATTCCTCCTGGTGGGTGCCTTGCCCGTGGCCCCCCTCCCTTATACCCCTTTCTGCCCTGTGGTTTCCGCCCCCCTGCCCCCAGCACTGCCTGTCCTCCCCCCCTGCACGCTGGGAACACAGCCAAAGGCCACCACCACCGCCCCCACCTCCCACGGCTCTCGGATGTCCTGGAGCCAACGACGGGCTCACCCTGCAATCTGCTTGGACAGAGTGTCCGTCTGGGTCAGAACCGCAAGGGGAAGTCAGGTCAGCCGGGGGCCCTGGGCCGGAACCCCCGGCTGCAGGGGCCCCGGGTGACGCTGGGGCCTCCCTGGCCTCTCTGTGCTGCTGGAGCTGGGCGGCAGATAGCCCCAAGGGCGCCCATCCCTGCCTGGGCCTGGGCGTCTGGATTCGAGAGCGTGTAGGTGCCATGCAGGACACCGTGTGGGCCGTCCTGGCCTTGAGGATGTGACTGTGAATTTGGAGTGAAGGTCCACAGAGCCCTGTAAGGGATGAATCCCAGGGGAGGGGACATGAGGGGGGCCCCAGGTGGTGGGGCCAGAAAGAGACTCTTCGGGGTTTGGGGTCCGGAGAGCACAGACGTGGATTCAGATAGATGTGGGCCTGGCCTCCACCCTGACCCCTTCCTGGCCAGGGTCCAGGGCAGTGGTGGAAAGTTCCCCGTCTCCCCATGCTGCGTGCAGGTACAGGGCCAGCAGAGGGCCTCAGGTGGACTGACCGGGACATTGGACACCAAATCCTATTAAAAGTACCAGATCACAGCTCGTGCACCGGTTGAATACTGTTCCAGGGTTTGCGATGACAGTGACTACCAGTTCTCAGGAAGCCCCCTTCCGGCGGGCAGCGGGGGGCGGGGGGCAGATACCAGACAGACAGTGGGGCCGGCCTGCCCCACCCGCTGCCCCTGCCAACCACTGGCTGGCCCCTGGCAGGGAAGGACCCCCTCCCTGGCTGGCCCCTGCATGGCCCCTGCTGCCTCCAAACTTCTGTCCCACTCAGGTGTGGCTTCCGGGACGCCGCACCTGACGTAGCCCCTCAGTCAATGTCCCATCCCCTGTTGGGCCTCCTTGTTCACTATTGGGCTCCTGTTCCGAGCTGGGCCCCCTTCTCTATCTGATTCACCAACTCACTCCCGAGGCAACAACCCTCTCCCTCCACCTAAACCCGCTTCCCTCTGTCACTCAGCAGGTGCAAAATAATTTAAAGGATGTGAGTCTGACTGTCCTGTAGGAGGGGCGTGAGTTCTGCAGGGCATGGGGTCGTGGGACTTCCTGTCTGAGGGCTTGCTTCCCCAGTGTGGTCTCAGGATGCAGTGAGGACAGAGCAGGTGTATCTGTCCACTCCCTCGATTCCCTCACTTGTTATTGGCACCTGTCGCGCCCCTGAAGGGGGGCGCCTGGCTGGTGGAACGTGCTGGATCCCTCTCCAGGAGAGGAGCCTCCCCTCAGCCCAGCCCCAGACCCCTGTGGCCTCAGCCTCCCCCACTGCCCTTGTCCTGGGCCTGCCTGGGCCGCCTCCCCATCTGGACGCTCCCGCCGACGTTCTGCTCCCCGAATGCTGGACAGTCGCAGGCACGGATGTGTGCCCACCCAGTACACGCCCGTGCACACCACGCACACATGAACGCACACACCATACCCTCAAGGGCAGCCCGGTCTCCCGCTTTCCTTCATAGTCAAATTTCTCTAAACACAGAGTCCAACACCGGCTCGAATGGAAAAACAGGGAGAAAATATGAAATAATTCAAAACTGATCTTGACTTTCGGGTAAAGATGGCGTCATGGAAGTCTGTGGAGAGCCAGGGGCCGTCGGGGTGTGAGGGCGGCCGTGGCGGCTTTGAGGAGCGAGCCCGCCCAGGTCACTGTCCCCCAGGGCCGCCCCACGTCTGCTCTCCCTGGGGGCTGGGCAGCCCCATGCGCGGGGTCTTCCGAGAACCACAGGCCCGCGGCGGGAGGGGCACTTCCCAGGGGCGGAGTGCGCAGAGACAGGCGTGGACGGCCGGGGGTGCTGCGGGGAGGCTCGGGCACAGGGAGAAGCCTCCGCGTGGGCACAGAGGCGAGAGCCAGGCGTCTGGAAGCCGAGGAGTGCCAGGGAGGCCGCGCCCGGAGACGGGAGAGCGCACTCTGCCCGCACCTGCTGCCCGCGCATCGGGCCCCCTCGGCCATGCAGGCACACGGCTGTGTGGTTTGAAGCCCGTCAGTCTGTGGCAGTTCGTTACGTAGCCTCGGGAAGCCAAGACACCACGCATCCTGCTACGCTCTCAGTAATAAACATGAATTTGTTTTCAAAGGGGGGAGTAGGGCAAGGTGCGTGTTACGACCACAAATCCCGATGGTGGGATCCGGCGTGCTGTGACTTCACTGTGCGTCCGTGCGCCTCCCGACGCGGGGCTCGAGCTCATGACCCCGAGATCACGACCTGAGCCGAAACCAAGAGTCAGCTGCCACCCAGGCGCCCCATCCTTTACTTTTCAAGTGGGACAAGGTCCCGTCGTCCGGCAACCACGAGAAGCCCCCGCTAGCAGATGCATCATTATGACTGAGACTTCCTGACGTCTGCATCATCAAAGGGCCTGCTGACGTCACCGCCCGCAGAGCAGGGGACAGCGTCCGGCCTGTGGCTTTACGAAGACCCAACGACAGAATGCTTGGGGAGCACCCGCCTTGTCCCTTTCATCGCCCCCGGCCAGGTGAAGGGATCCTTCAGGAGGGACGTGGACAAGTTTGAGTGACTATGGAGAGGAGGTCACCGGGGCGCACGTGGCATTTCCAGTGCCCTTGAATTTATTTAAGAGGGGGCCCGCCGCCCGCCACGGGGTGTGAAAGCTTTATCCCGTGTGGCGCTGCCCAAAGCAGACGGTCTGGTACAAGTGGACGCGCGCTGCATTCGCAACGTCTGGTTTTCTCGTAGCCACATTATAAAAAGTAAAAGAAACGAGTGAAGTAATTTTCACAACATATTTGTGGTTAGCTCAGTAGATCTAGGCGATTCTGATTTCAGTATTTTATCAGTCTAAAATTATTAAGGAGATATGTTCATTCTTTTCTTTCGTCCTACGTCTGCCTTCAAAGACCAGGGTGTGTTTTGGGCACTCACAGGACATCTCAAGTGAGAGCAGCCACGTTTCGTGAGCTCGGCAGCCGCACGTGGCTGGTGGCTACTGAGCCGGGCAGTGCAGATCGGAAGCCTCTTGCCCACTAACCGAGTGCTCGGGAATGAATGAAGCACCAGAGACCTCCACTTTGCTTCAACACGTAACCCTACAGACCCGTGACCAGAAATCCCAGTGTGAGCTCGGGGGGTTGGCCGGAGCCCAGAGTTCCATGTTAGAACCTAATGCCTGTGATTTAGGCTTTAATCCCTGTTTACGAGCATCGACCTTCGAGGGAGCTCAGAACTTTTATTTAAGCCACCATAGTCTTGGGACAAATGAGCCATCTTACTATCTGTGGGAGGAAAAAGAACAAAAAGGCTACTTTTGGGGCCCATCACGCCTCCTAGTCCAGGAAGCCCCCTCTTCATGAGAGCCGGGTAGTGGGGAGATTGGATGCCTTTCTTCTCTGCGATCCTGGTGGAGGGGCAGGTGCCCTGAGAACACCATAGCACAGAGCTCCCCGGCCCAAGCCGCCTTCTCCTTCTAGAAGCAGGACCTTCGGTTGGTGTCCCAAGGTCTGCCAACTAGACGTCGTAAATCCACGGCTAGAAGGTGGCCAAGGTGCAACTGTTTACTATTTAAAATCTACTTCTCTCTGCTTTTCCCTCCAGGAGACCATGAATTGCAAGAGAAGGATGCTGTTATTGATCTCCTGTGTTTTATACTTCATGTTGCTCGAGTATCATTTCAGGTAAACATAAAATACTGGTGAATCTTGACCCGCTGCGATCGGCAGAGAGGATGTGAAGAGCTGGGTTCGGTGCAGACGTTACTAACACTCTCGAAAGTGACCAGACCGGGCGCCTGGGTGGCTCAGTTGGTTAGGCGACTGCCTTCGGCTCGGGTCGTGATCCTGGAGTCCCGGGATCGAGTCCCGCATCGGGCTCCCTGCTCGGCAGGGAGTCTGCTTCTCCTTCTGCCCCTCCCCCCTGTCATGTGCTCTCTCTCTCTCAAATAAATAAATAAAATCTTTAAAAAAAAAGAAAGTGACCAGACCTTCCCTTCTCTCTTTGGTACAAAGCAAAGTGTACCAACTTTAATTCGTTCCTCTGTGATTGGGTAACAGTGATCTCAGAGGGAGCAGTAGGAACCCAAAGCGCCTGCTCTCGGGGAGCTTTCCACTCCAGACGGAGAAGGCAGACCATCACAACGTGGGGTGTCCGAGTTTACATAACTAAAGGCATGAAGGAAAAGGGAAGCAAGGTGAGGGATAGCATGGGGTTGCTCTTCTGGACAAACTGGAACGGCCCCTAGCAGCCTGCTGGGGCAGCAGGTGTGCCCCGGGGCAGCCCGTGGTTGACCCGTGAGAATTCTCTCCTGTAGAAAAATTCCAGTCCTCGCCTTCTCGCCCACTTCGCACGACCTTCTAATGAGCAGGGCGGTCTTCCCAAATGCTATTTGAAAGGCAGCCATATTGTGAGAAATAACGTCTTTACAAACGAAGCCTTCACAAAATGCATGTCTGATAAAAGGCTTATATTCAAATATGCAAAGAACTCTTCCAGCTCAACAATAAGGAAACAACCTAATTAAAAAATGGGCAAAATCCGAGCAGACAGCTCACCGAAGATACACAGAGAGCAAACAGGCTCATGAAAAGACGCTCAGAATCATTCGTTACTAGATAATTGCCAACCAGAATAATGAGACGCCACCGCATGCCCAGGAGAGTGACCCAAATCAGGAGCCCTGCCAGCACCACGCGTGGGCGAGGACATGGGGCACGGGACTCTCGTTCATGCCACGCAACACAGGGCAGCCACTTTGAAGACACTTTGGCGGCTTCTTACCGAACTAAATACAGTCTTTCCGATGATCTAGCAACCATGCTCCTATTTATCTGAGG